TTTCCAGATAGGCAATGCTTTTGGAGTGAATAAGTGCTCACCCCCAGGTCTAATTTTAAATATTCCTCCTTAGGAAGTCTGGTCTGGTCAACCTGCCCTCACAATGTAACGCCTGGTATATCAGAAGTTTGTAAAGATCTGTCTTTATGGTTTTCGCTCACATAGCGACCAGGAGGGGCGTGAGGTCTCAGGTACATGCGAAAAAGAGGCAGAACAACTCACGACGTCAAGAGTGTCTTGCCAGTTGTTGCCACCTCGTTGTAGATTGCAATCCAATCACTACAGCCGATGAGTAGCCATTCTACCTGCAGTCTGATCAGGAGCCCAGGCGGACCCTGCAGGTGCCAGAAACAACTCTTGGAGTCTGACTCAGGCCCTTTGAGTACGATGCTTCGGTCAGCACTGACATAGCTGTAACTGTGACAATCTAAAGGAAACAAAACAAACAAGAAAAACATCAGGCCTCGACGATTTGATTTATTATTGTCATGCACTGAGATACAGTGAAAAGTATCGTTTATGTGTGCTATCCAGGCAAATCATTCCTCCCATAAGTACACCAGGGTAATAGGTTAGAATGCAGAATGCAGTGTTACAGCTACAGAGAAGGTGCAGAGAAAGATTAACTCTAGTCTATGAATGCTTTGTTCAAAAGTCTGATAACAGTGGGGAAGAAAATGATCATGAATCTGTTGGTAACAAAAACAGAAGTTGCTGGAAAAGCTCAACAGGTCTGGCAGCATCTGTGAAGAGAAAATCAGGGTTAGCGTTTCAGGTCCGGTGACCCTTCCTCAGAACTGAGTTAACGTTAACTCTGATTTTTTCCTTCACAGATGCTGCCAGGCCTGCTGAGCTTTTCCAGCAACTTCTGTTTTTGTTCCAGATTTACAGCATCCGCAGTTCTTTTGGTTTTGAATCTGTTGGTACGTGTTTTCAAACTCTTGTACGGAAGAGGGAGGAAGAGGGTATAACCGGGGTGGGAGGGGTCTTTGATGATGTCGGCTGCTTTCCCAAGGCAGTGGGAAGTGTAGACGGAGTTAACAGATGGAAGGCTGGTTTGCGCGATGGACTGCGCTGTGTTCACAACTCTCTGTAGTTTCTTGTGGTCTTGGGCAGAGCAGTTGCCAAAACACAGTGTGATGCATCCAGAAAGAATGTTTCTATGGTGCATGTATGAAAATTGGTAAGTTATTGTGGACATGCCGAATTTCCTTTACAGGGAGCTTAAAGCATCAATCTCCCTATAGGGGAAATTCAGGAAAAAAAATAACACAAGTTCGACTTGGAGATGAATCCGTTCTGAACAAGGGCCATACTGGACTCAGTATGTTAACTCAGTTTCTGTCTCCACTGATGCTACCAGACCTGCTGAGTTTCTCCAACACCTTCTGACTTTGCATCAAATCGTCAGGATCTTTCTTTTTTTCTATTCACTCATGGGACGTGGATGTTGATGGCTGTGCAGTGTTCTGTTGCCTACTCCCTATGAACTGCTGCAGGCATGGTGGGCTGAATGGCCTCCCTCTGCCTTGTAACAATTCTGTGATTATTTTACACCTCAGATACCGACTTGGTTTAAATTCACATCCGCAAGGCATGTCACCTCCAACAGTGACATTGAAGTAGACATTAGAGAGTCGTAGGATTATCATCACATTATCATAGAATCCCTACAGTGTGGAAACAGGCCATTTGGCCCAACAAGTCCACACTGGCTCTTCGAAGAGCATCCCATCCAGCCACACGTCCCAACCCTATCCCTGTAACCCTGCATTTCCCATTGTTAATCCACCTAACCTATATAATCATTGGACGCTATGAGGCTATTTAGCATGGCCAATCCACTTAACCCACACATCTTTGGACTGTAGGAGGAAACCGGAGCACCCGGAGGAAACCCACGTAGACACCAGGAGAATGTGCAAACTCCACACAGACAGTCGCCCGAGGATGGAATCGAACCCAGGTCCCTGGCCCAGTGAGGATTACAGTGCTAATCACTGAGCCACTGTACCACCCTTCATTGAGTCATACAACACGGCAACAGATCCTTTGGTCCGACCAATCCATGCTGACCATGTTCCCAAACTAAACTTATCCCATCGGCCTGTGCTTGGCCCTTATCCCTCCAAACCTTCCCTATTTATGAACTTATCCAAATGTCTTTTAAATGTTGTAACTGTACCCACATCCACCACTTCCTCTGGCAGTTCCTTGCACACACTAACCTTTCTTTGTGTAAAAAAGTTGCCTCATGTCCTTTTTAAATCTTTCTCCTCTCACCTTAAAAATATGCCCCTTAGTTTTGAACTCAACCCCCACATTAGGGAAAAGTCCTTTGCTATTCACCCTATCTATGCCCCTCATGATTTTACAAACCTCAGTAAGGTCACCTTCAACCTCCTACGCTCTAGTGAAAAAGTCCCAGCCTCTCCTTATGACTCAAAGCCTCCAGTCCTGGCAATATCCTGGTAAATCTTTTCTGAACCCTCTCCAATTTAGCAATATCCTTCCTATAGCAGGGTGACCAGAACTGGACACAGTACTCCAGAAGAGGCCTCACCAACATCCAGTACAACCTCAACATGACGTCCCAACTCCTCCACTCAAAGGTCTGAGCAATGAAGGCAAGCGTGCTAAATGCCTTCTTATCCGCCCTATCTACATGTGATGCAAATTTCAAAGAATTAGTTAGTGTTCAAGCCCAGGTGTGGGACGTAATGCTCACAAGATGAGAATGGTGCCCCTGGCTACTGAAGTTGAGCCACCATCCAGGGTGTGGCTCAGTCACACAGAGAGGGTACATGAGGCCAGTGGCTGGAACCACAGCTCAGCTTGAAGTACCAGAGAGAGATGAACAAGTTGTAGAATCATACAGCACAGAAAAAGGCCCTTTGGTCCATCGAGTCTGCATCAGTCCAAAACAACCACTTAACTATTCTAATCCCATTATCCAGCACTTGGATGCTTTGGGATCGCAATTGTACATCTAAATCTACATCTTTCAGGCTGTTATCAGGCTGTTGAATGGACTCTAGCCTTAAATAATGTAACCTGTATGCCTCGAAGTCTTTTTGATCTGCATATCCTTTGCTTGCTGTGATCTGCCTGTACCGTTTTTCACTGTATTTCAGTACATGTGACAATAACATCAATCAATCAAGTACTTCTTCAGTGTTAGGAGGGTTTCTGCCCCTACATCCCTTATTGACAGTGAGTTCCAGTGTCCCACCAGCCTCTGGACGAAGAAAAAGGTCCTCACGTCCCCCTAAGCCTCCTGACCCTGACGTTAAAATCTATGCTCTCTGGTCAGTGATCCCTCCAATGAGAGGGAAAGGTTACTTCCTGTTTACCCTACCTATACGCCTCATAATTTTATACATCTCATTCACGTCCCTCCTCAGTCTCCTCTGCTTCAAGGAAACCAACCCCAGTCCGTCCAATCTCTCTTCATAACTGAAACTCTCCAGCCCAGGCAACATCCTGGTAAATCTCCTCTGTACCCTATCCAGGGCTATCACCTCCCTCCTATAATGTGGATTCCAGATTGCACACAATAGTCTAGCTGCGATCGAACCAACTTTATACACATTTCCAGAATAACCTCCCTGATCTTAAACTCTGTCTGTCAGCTGATAAAGCCGAGTATCCCATATGCCTTTGTCAAGTTGTAAACAGTGTCTCTGAAGCTGAACTGTTGTGTTGTAGCCCAGTCCAACATCGAGCTCCATTACCTGTTGCTGCTGCCAATATTTTCAAATCATTTTTTGACATCTCTGTAAAATGAAGAAAAAGACAGAGATAATTAAAGTCAGTGTTTTTTCATATAGTGGAGGCAACAGAGGATAATTCTTGCTGCCAGACAGAAAATCGTGAGTGACTACTCATATCAGCCTTAGAAGAGACATCTAAAAAGCAACAACAACTTGCATTTATGTAGCGTTTTTAACATGTTGCTGAATGTGAGAAATATTGGTGAAGATTTTCATCTTACATTAATGAAAGTGTAATGGAAATGTCTCAGCCAATCAGAGTCAAGTTGCTAACCAATCAGCATCCTTTTCTCCTGTAGTACAAATTGTTGTGATCATTTGAAATTTGGCATTCTTGCATTGGTCCTGTTGAGTGCAAGATGAAAAGCTTCGAGATTCAAGTTCTGTGCTACCAAACCTTTAACATCATGACAGATACCTTGAGAAAGATAATTGAAAATAAATTAACGCTGAGCTACAGAAGGTGATGTCAGGGCAGATGATTAAAATCTTGGTCAAGGACATAAGTTTAAATGAACAACTTAAGGGATGTGTGAGATTTGAGAAACAGAGAGGTATAGGGCGGACCCACGTACTTTAATTCATGGCTGGACCATTTAGATGGATGACATATGATCACGGGCCAGAGAAAGTTGACCCAAAAAGCAATAATTTCAGATTTTTAAAATTCATTTACACAATGAGGGTGTCACAGCTGGCTGGCATTTATTGCCCATTCCAGAGGGCAGTTAAGAGTCAACCACATTGCTGTAGGTCTGGAGTCACATGTAGGCCAGACCAGGGAAGGATAGCAGATTCCTTCCTTAAAGGACATTAGTGAACCAGATGGTTTTTCTGACAATTGATTCATGGTCATCATTAGACTCTTAATTCCAGATTTTTTTTTATTGAATTCAAATTCCACTGTCATGTTGAGGATGTACAGGACGTTGGTGAGGCCTCTTCTGGAATACTGTGTCCAGTTCTGCTCTCCCTGCTACAGGAAGTGTATTATTAAACCAGAGAGGGTTCATAAGAGATTTACCAGGATGTTGCCGGTAATGGAAGGTTTGAGTTATAAGGAGAGGCTGGATAGGCTGGGACTTTTTTCACTGGAGCATAGGAATTTGAAAGGCGATCTTGTAGAGGTTTATAAAATCACGGGGGTATAGATAAGGTAAATGGCCGCTGTCTTTTCCCTAGGGTGGCAGATTTCAAGACCAGAGGGCATATTTTCAAGGCGAGAGCAGAAAGAATTAAAAAAGACATGAGGGGTGAATCTTTTACACAGAGAGTGGTTTGTGTGTGGAATGAACCACCTGAGGAAATGGTAGATGTGGGCACAGTTACAATGTTTAAAAGACATTTGGATAAGCACATGAATAGGAAAGGTTTGGAGGGAAATGGGCCAGGCGCAGGCCGGTGGAACTAGTTTAGTTTGGCATTATGGTCGGCATGGACTGGTTGGACAGAAGGGTCTGTTTCTGTGCTGTATGACTCTATGACTCTGTGATTATATTAATGACAATCAGGCCAGGCAACTGGCCACTTAGAATGGTACCCTAATCCTTCTTCCTATATTGGTCTAAGGGCTTTTTTAGTAGTTGGCACTGAAGGATGAGCCAAAACTATAGTTTCAGCCTAACCTTAAGCAAGAGAATGCGGTTTGTTACTTCTCAGCAACTATATACAAGTTACTTTAACTAAAGGGGGTGAAGGAGCACACGGAATTGAGTGTATATGTGGGCAGATCATTGAAGGTGGCAAGACAGGCGGACAGAGCAGTAAATAAAGCAGACAATGTCCTCAGTTTTATCAATAGGGGCATAGAGTACAAGAACAGGCAGGTGATGTTGAATTTGTATAAGACACTTGTTAGACTTCAGCTGGAGTATTGTGTACAGCTGTGGGCACCATGTTATTCAAGGATGTGAACACATTGGAGAGAGAGTGCAGAAATGATTTCCAAGAATGCTTCCAGAAATGAGAAACTTTGGTTTTGGGGATAGATTGAAGACGTTGAGGCTGTTCTCCTTGGAGGGAAGAAGGATGAGAGGAGATCTGATTGTGGTTTTCAAAATTGTGAGCGGCCTGGACAGTGTAGAAAGGGTGTTTTCGCTCGCAAATGAAACAAGAATGAGAGGGCACAGGTTTAAAGTGATGTGTGAATGAAGCACAGGTGATGTGAGAAAAAAAGCTTTCTCACACAAGTGGGTGTTTCGGTTCTGAAATGCATTGCCTGGAAATGTGGCGGAGGCAGGATCAATTGAGGCATTCAGTAGTGAATTGGATGATTATTTGCATAGAAATGATGTGCAGGCATGTGGGGAAAAGGCAGGAGATTGACACTAGGGGATAGAATCAGTGTAAGTGTGATGGATTGAGTGGCCTCTTCTGCACTATAATAGTTCTGTGATTAACTCTTAGACATATTAACTGTTACTAAGAAGAGGCAAGTCAGACACATCAGTGTCCATGAGGCGACTGGGCTAGACCCCAACCACTATCTGTCCAAATTCAAACTGCACATTGCTTTGTGCGCTGGCTACGGTGTCTGTCAGAGAGAGAGAAGCATCAGTTTAATTCAGATCAACACTTACACATCCATTACCTCACATGACATGAATGTCATCAGAGATCTTTCTAAACTGTACAGAATATACTGAATCCCTTCAGCACAGAAAGAGGCCATTTGACCCATAGAGTCTGCACTAACCCTCCAAACAGCATCCCACCCAATCCCCATTTTCTAGCCTACCCATCCCTGTTAGCTGCCACCTTGGGATAAGATGAGGATATGGGTCTGGAAAGCACCCTTCATGTTTTGTTGCATGTTTCTGGATTTTTCCTGGACAATTTCCCATGGCCAATCCACCCTAACCTGCACATCTTTGGACTGTGGGAGAAAACTGGAGCATCCGGGGGAAACCCGCACAGACACAGGGAGAAGGTGCAAACTCCAGACAGACAGGTCCCTGGTGCTGAGAGGCAGCAGTGCTAACCACTGAGCCATGGTGCCACATTGTGGGACAATGGCAAGGACATGACAATAGAATAGAGCTGGGCTGTGCCTCAAAAATGCTAAGTTAGGGAGACATTCCAAAGTTTGGCTTGACCTGCCTCAGGAGAGCTATAAACAAAATGTGCTCTTTGTGTCTGGAGGTTTTGAATCATGTTCCAATCAATAGACGATGGTAAAGATGCATCAAGGAAAGCAGATTTAATGGGCTGAATTCCATTTGTCCCATTGCATGCCCCATGTTTTTAGGAGGCACTCTCTGGGCTGGTAAAACATTATTGTCAAAGAAACACAAGCAAAGGTATAGACTCAGGCATCTATTTCCTCAGATTGTGGAGGGGAAGGGAAAAATGGACATTTGAAAAATGAGGGAAAGGGTGAAAGGAATATGTCTTAGCCAGTGAGGGGGAAAAGGGAATGGGATGAAATCTCCCAGCCTCTTTGAGTCTGAACTGCCATTCAGTTTGATCACGGGTGGCCTGTGTCTTAATCGTTATCTGCTGCCTTGTCTTTCTAACCCTTCCTAATTAATACCCCTGATTTACAGGCAGGTAACAGAAACCACGTTTTGGAACGGAAACCACGTGGGATTACTGACTGGTTATGGAGGTAGCCATTGTCTGGATCTGATAGTCAGTCGATTCAGTCAGAAAATGTTTGTTGAGGGTTGACTTCACCAAATCCGTGGTCAGGTTTTCCTGCTGTTTCTTCGTAACGCGGAAGTCCATCCAGAAGTAAGACAACAGGCTGCCTTTACTGTTAGGGCAGAAATTCCTCTTGTGAGAGGCTTTATAACGTGGCATGAGCAACATTAAATAGTTCAAACGTTCATTTCTAATCCCGTGGACCCCTTGCTGTGGCTGAAATCCCATCGGGCCATGAACTTTAAGGAAGAAATAGGCTTGTATTGATTCAACACCAATGACAACATGTTGGATTTATATAGCACCTTTAACATCCCAAGACGTACGACAGGAGCATCAGCAGACCACACCTGATATTGAGCCACATGGGGTGACATTAGGACAAGTGGCCAATAGTTCAAACATTTAAGTGATGGGCAGAAGGAGCATCTCAAAAGGGGAAAAGGAGCTACAAAGGACTAGGAAGGGAATTTCAGAGCTGAGGTAGATGAAGACAAGGCCACCTCAGGAATGATAGAATCTCCACAGTGCAGATAGAGGCCATTTAGCCTGCACTGAACCTCTGAAGAGCATCCCACTCAGACCCACCCCTTAATTAACATAATTTACCCATCTAACCTGCACACTACGGGGCAATTTAGCACGGTCAATCCAACTAACCTCCACATCTTTGAACTGTGGGAGGAAACCCACGCTAACACAAGGAGAATGTGCAAATTCCACACAGACAGTTGTCCAAGGCTGGGATCAAACCTGGGTCCTTAGCACTGTGAGGCAGCAGTGCTAAACTTTGTGCCAGCCTATAGCTTCTGATTAAGGCAGGGTTATGGGGAGAAGGCATGAGATTGGCACGAAGCAGACATGATGGGCTGAATGGACTCCTTCTGCATCATAACAATTCCTTGATTCTGAACACAATGGCTCAGAATGGTATTTTACTTGGCCAACGAGTAACTTGTTACAACTTTTGACTCCAGCAGGATTTCAACAGAAATTGCATTTTTGCCATTGAATATCTTGTCGTTCTACCCGTTATCTGTTGAAATACCCACCTCTAAGAAGATAGTTTAGATATTTAATGCGCCTTACAAATTTCTTTATTTGTTCATGGCATTTGGTAATTGCTCCAACATTTGTTGCTCACCCCTTAAACTTGCTCAGAATACTTCAGGGGGGCAGTTAAGAGTCAACCCTATTGCTGTGGGTCTGGAGTCACGTGTAAGCCAGCTGGGGTAAGAGCACCAGATATTCTTCACCATTAGAGAACCAGAGGGTTTTTATGACAACTGTCTATCATGATCATCACTTCCTGAGGCTAGCTTTCGAATTCCAGATTTGTTCCTGAATTGAAATAATAGCAGTCACTTTGGTGGGATATCAGAAACGCATTTAGGCAGCCATTGTCTAAAAAATAGATAACAAAGAACGTAGGCTTGATTGATTAAATCAGAAGGTTATAGTCAACAGGTTTGTTTGAAATCACAAGCTTTTGGAGCATGTAAACCTGTTGGACTATAACCTGGTGTTGTGTGACTCCTGACCTTGTCCCATCCAACACCGACACTTCCACATCGGGATTGATCGAGGTTGGGAAACACACCAATAAGTCAGAAATATACCATGTGTCTCTGGAGTTATGGGTTTCCAACTCTGGTTACCGACCACACTCATTGGTGCGAGCCCAATTGTATTATGGCTTTGGTAGTTGAAGGCTCGAAGCTTACACATTTATCAAACAGTTTCCTTACCCAAAAGTGAAGACCTTTGACTTGTTGTAGTACGACTTGATGTCTGAAGAGGTGAAAGCTTCTTTGACCTAAGAGAGAAACATTTGCACCAAATTTAGCCAATCATTCTTGTTATTGTCGGTCATGTAGAGATAGGGTTTAATGAATATGTAGCTGTGCCTCGAGATGGGTTGTGTTATAACTGTGGTCTCGATGAGCCTCAGGAAGTTGAGGTGATGAAGGTGAAACATGTACAACACAGAGTAAGGAGCTCTGTGGCTTTACCATCATATACAGTCTGTTACGAAAAGCTGTGTAAAAGTACAGCTAGACCCTGGGTGGCACATTGGCTCAGTGGTTAGCACTGCTGCCTCACAGCTTCAGGGACCGTGTCCAATTCCACCCTCCACAACCTGTGTGGAGTTTGCACATTCTCCCTGTGTCTGTGTGGGTTTCCTCCGGGTGCTCCAGTTTCCTCCCACAATCCAAAGACGTGCAGGTTAGGGTGGATTGGCCGTGCTAAATTGCCCATAGTGTTCAGGAAAGTGCAGGCTAAATGGGTTAGCCATGGGAAATCCAGCGTTATAGGGTAGAGGGTGGGATGCTCTTTGGAGGGTTGGTGTGGACTCGATGCTTTTCACTGCTGGGATTCTGTGAGATAGTAGGAACTGCCGATGCTGAAGTCTGAGATAACAAGGTGTGGAGCTGGAGGAACAAAGATTCTATGATCTTGGGTTGTGAACAGAGTCTGTTGAGTTGTACGCACCTCAGAACGCAATCCAGGATGATGGAAAGCAGCTGCTTGTAAGTGCAGTTGGTTCTGATATAATGGGATAGTTTTGATCTTGTGTTTAATAAAATCGCACAATAGCCACGCCATTTAAACAAATGGGGCCAGAATCGTATTATAGTCAATACAGGTAAGGAAAGTTCATGTTCTACAAATAGTGTTATTGTCAATACAGGTAAGGAAAGTTCACATTCTGCAAATAGTGTTATAGCCAATACAGGTAAGGAAAGTTCATGTTCTACAAATAGTGGTCTATTTGCAAACATGCATTATATCAGAACCAACTGTACAGGAAATGTTTACACGTTGGGTTTTAAAAAATTGCACCCCTGTATGGGATTGTGTTTGTAAGTACGAGCATTTCAAAGCTGGACTTCTGCAAATCAGGGACCCCTCCATCCTCCCCCCACCCCCCAACCCCCAACGCCCCACCTCTGTAACTGAAAAATCTGGCCCTAACATGTACAAACATCTGAAGAACCCATGTCAGAACAGCTTGATTCCAGTGTTAGGATGGTCAGTCTTGGTGTGACCAAGAGTTTCCAACTGAGGTGCTGAACTCCTGGAAGACTCTGGGATAATATTCTGTAGCATGGACCAAATCACAGTGGCCAATGCGGTGAAAAATAGGGCAGAAATGAAGGAAAGAAGAAGCAATTTGAAAACAGCGATGGATTTCTGCTGTATGTCACACTGGAACATGGGGGGTACTGCTGCCGTTTCACAGGGGAGGGAATACCGCCCTGAAATCCCAGGAAATGACATAAATGCCAAAAACACATAACATGACTAAACCTTAGTTTATCCTTTGAAATTTATTTGTGGGGCATGGCCATTACTGGCTAGGCCAGCATTTTTTTTTCCTTTATTCATTCACGGGATGCGGGCATCATTGTTTACCAATCTCTAATTGCCCAGAGGGCAGTTAAGAGTCTTGCTGTGGGTCTGGAGTCACATGTAGGGATAGCAGTTTCCTTCTCTGAAGAACATTAGTGAACCGGGTGGGTTTTTCCCCAACAATGGATTCACAGTCATCATTAGGCTCTTAATTCCAGATATTTATTGAATTCAAATTCCACCATCTGCCATGGCAGGATTTGAACCCAGGTTCCCAGGACATTATCTGGGTCTCTGGATTAACAGTCCAGCGATAATACTACTAGGCCATCAACTCCCCATTGACTTGATTTATGGTCGATAGAGCAGTTAAGATTTAACCACAGCACATTTAGGAGTCACACCTAGGCCAGAGGAAGGACATTAACAAACTAGATGGCTTACATGGTTACCACGAGTTTTGTTATTTATTCCAGATTTTGACTGAATTCAGACTTCACCATAGCAGGATTTGAACTCATATGATTAGCCTCAGACACTGGATTACTACCCTAATGACTATAGCACTAAGCCAGCACATCCCCTATGCCTATTAATACCACACACTCACTTTCCTACTCTACACCCCTCCTAATTGTTGATAATCCACCCAACGATTCAATTTAACAAATTTTATGTAACAGCAAAGTTACATTATCTTGTAAAACTTAAAACCGGTGAATTTTGTCTCTTGTTTAAAAAAAAACCAATCAATCCAACACAATTTTATAAGCTCACCTGTTCACCAATTTCCTTCATCTCTGTTTCGAACGTATCAGTTGCTTTGTCTGCGTAATTGCTGTTAAAATCTTTATTCGTTATACACAGGCCACCCACAAAGTTTAGCGGATATTTCGGGTGGTTGACTTTAGGTTGTTCAACTGAGAAGGTGGAAGAGAAAGTTTTTGTTAGAATGCTATTGGATGTAAATGGTTGATTGATGACTGACATGGGCACCATGTCACTGACTTCAATTCAGTTCAGGATCCCCTTTGATGCCACACTTGGTCAAACGCTGGTTGGATACTGAAGGCAGTTGTAGAGTCATAGAGTCATACAGCATGGAAACAGACCCTTTGTTCCAACCAGTCCATGCTGACCATACTCCCAAACTAAACTAGTCCCACCTGCCTGTGCTTGGCCCATATCCCTCCAAACATTTCTTATTCATCTACTTATCCAAATGTCTTTTAAACATTGTAACTGTACCTGCATCCACCACTTCTTCTGGTAGTTCATTCCATACCAGAACCACTCTCTGTGTAAAAAAGTTGCCCTTCATCTCCTTTTTAAATTTTTCTCCTCTCACTTTAAAATAACCCCTAGTTTTGAACAGCCCCACTCTAGGTAGAAGATCCTTGTCATTCACCCTATCCAAGCCTCTCATAATTTTATAAATCTCAGTAAGGTCACCCCTCAACCTCCTACACTCTAGTGAAGAAAGTCCCAGTCTATTTATATAACTCAAATCTACCTCTAAACTGTCATCAGATCAGGAACTGAGTGACACTAGTAGATGAGCAGGTTACTGTTGTGTGAGTGCCAGTTAATAGCACTCGCCATTACATCTTCCATCATTTTACTGACGATTGAGAAAAGACTGACCAGCCTGCAATTGGATTTTTCCTGCTCTTTTACAGTCAGGAAATGCCTGGAGTCAATTTTTCACATTGATGAATACCAGTGTTGTAGCTAGACTGGAGGATTGGCACATTATTCCAGCTTTCACTGTCAGAAATGTGCATGGCAGGGACAGAATAGGCAAAAGGTTATGTTAATTTTGTGTCGAGCCTTGCTTCGGTGTTACATCAAATCTAGTGTCCATTTTATAAAAATATTTAGGTACGCCAGAGAAATTGGAAATACTATCTATGAGGATGAAATGTGAAAGCAGAGTTTATCACTATCAGGAAAGACTGAACAGGCTGGGACTTCATTCTCCGATGAATGGGAAACTGAGCGTCTCTGCATTATACAGTCATAGAGTCATACAGCACAGAAATAGACCCTTCCGTCCAACCAGTCCATGCCGACCATAATCCCAAACTAAACTGTCCACCTGCCTGCGCTTGGCCCATATCCCTACAAACATTTCTTATTCATGTAATTATCCAAATGTCTTTTAAATGTTGTAACTGTACCCACATTCACCACTTCCTCTGGCAGCTCGTTTCATACACTTTCAGTGTAAAAAAATTGCCCCCATGTCCTTTTTAAATCTTTTTCCTTTCACCTTAAAAATATGTCCCCTAGTTTTGAAATCACCCACCCTAGGGGTAAGACACCTGGCATTCACCTTATCTATGCACCTCATGATTTTATGAACCTCTATACAACCTCCTACACTCTAGTGAAAAAAGTCCCAGCCTATCCAACCTCTCCTTATAACTCAAAACCTCCATTCCCTGCAACATCCTGGTAAATCTCTTCTGAACCATCTCAAGCTTAATAACATCCTTCCCATAACTCAATCAGTTCTTGATTTAAAGGGGAATCAAGAGTTATGAGGAAAAAAAGTAGAGTTGAGACTAAGGTCAGGTCAATCATGACCTTATTGAATGATCGAGCGGCTCGGATGTAACAGTTTGACTAGGGGAGTGGTTAGTTCTGGAATACTGTCCTAGACCAAATTTAATACATTGCATGCCTGAAATACAAGTCTGTCAAAGTAGCACTGTAAAATGACAACAGGGAAATATCTGCTGGGAGACACGATGAATAAGTACAAAATTATGAGGGGAGTTATTACAGAGTTGTGAAAAATGTTTGTTGTAGTAGGAGATCTTTAAATCAGAGAATGTGATTTTAATCTCCAATTGCACTTTGTTATCTGAAAACAACAAATGCTGGAGATCACAGCAGATCAGTCAGCATCCACAGGGACAGAACGTTAGCTCTCTCTCTCTCCATGCCTGCTGCCTGACCCACTGTGGTCTCCAACATTTATTATTTTCAGTACAGATTCCAGCATCTGCAGTAATTTGCCATTTTTTTATCCTTCTCCAATGTTTCCTAACTAATAAATTAAAATAAAAAATACCCTTTATTTTTAATGCTCCCGTTTTTTTGACTCCTGACTATTGGTTGCTGGAGTATCCCTGGAAATTAATCTGTTAAACCTGGAGATGTTCCCAGAAGGTTGACAAATTTAACCGTGGTCTAATATCAATCACCGGCTTCAGGGAGAAGAGAGGGATAAGTAACAGGGAATGTCTTTGCAGAGGGGCGATGCTGGTGTGGCGGAATATCGCTGGGCTGGTGCTCAGAGAACATAAGCTCAAAGCCCACCACTCAGCTTAAACTCAATTTTTAAAACAAATCTGTAAAGTTAGTCTCTTGTAAAAAAACCAACTGCTTTTAGGGAAGGAAATCTACCGTCCTTACTGGGTCTGGCCCACATGTGACTCCAGACCCACAGTGATGTTGCTGACTCTTAACTGCCCTCTGAAATGACCAAGAAAACCTCTCAGGTCAAGGGCAATTAGGATGGATAACAAATGTGGGGGCTTTGCCGACAACAGTCACATCACATGAAAGAATAAAGAGGCAGAATTTCTTGAATAGCCCAGAGAACAGTCCTTCAGGATATAATTGGTTATCCACTTAAGTTCTGCTAAACTTTTAGGCTGTTTCCTTTTAATACAATTATCCCTATTCACACTTTTGATTCTCCCTCACACCATTCCCCTTCCCCACCGTCGTTTGCCAAAAAAAAGCCTCTATTCAATAGCTCCGCCAAATCTTCACATTTAGTGAGAATTAGTCCATTGGGCCCATCACATCAATGCTAGTATTTATCTTTCAAATGAGCATTCTCCCTGGCCTCTTCACTGAACCTCACCAATACAGCCTTCTACACCTTTCTCTTGTATCTGCTTATCTCGCTTCTCCTTCAATCCCACATCACTCAACTCAACCTATTCTTAATTTACAGGGGATCTGGGGTTGGGGGGGAGGTTGTGGGGGCAGACAGGAACGTGAAGTTGAGTCCAAGATCAGATCAATCATGACCTTATTGAGCAGTGGAGTAGACTTGAAGGGCTGAATGGACTTCTCTTTCCCTTGTATCTGTTGGTCTTATTAAGTATTTTCTGTGGTAGCGAGTTCCAGAAATGTCTCCTGAATTTGTCTTTGGATTTATTAGCAAACTATTGCACTGTAGTGCTGCTCTGTAGAAACTTTTCCATATTTAGTGTAGCAAGCCATAGAGTCATACAGCATGGAAACAGATCCTTCGGTCCAACTTGTCCATGCTGACCAGACATCCCAATCTAACCTAGTCCCATTTGGCCCATATTCCTCTAAACTCTTCTTATTCACTTACCCATCCAGATCCCTTTTAAATGTTGTAATTGTACCAGCCTCCACCACTTCCTCTGGCAGCTCATTCTATACCCTTTCATAATCGTTCAAACATCAAAACAGGTCACCCCTTCAATGGAGAATAAAGTCCCTGCTTGTTCAGTCATTCCTGATGATGATAACCTCTCTCTTCTCATCTCATTCTTAGAAATGGCTTCGCCAATTTCTCTGGTGTACCTAATCCTTTTATAATATGGACACAAGGATCGTTTGTAATGCTGGAAGCAGGCTCTAACCAAGGCTCAATACAAGATTGACATCACTTCTCTCCTATTCTGTCTGTGCCATGCACAATCCTGCCAATGTAAACAGCAACAACTCCTTCAGGATTGACCGGGAAACTGCAGCGATTAAAGTTTAATGTCCAGGGCATTGCTATATGTAAAAATTTGGAGGAAACTCTCCCGGAATATTAAACAAAGTCTTGTAGCTTTCTCGTTTCCATTCATTTATTAATAATGTAAGATCGTAGAACAGTTAAGGCACAAAGGAAGGCCGCTCAGCCAGTCATGTCAATACTAGTTTTCTGAGACCCTGTCCTGTGTTAGGAGTGCTGAATCCAGCGCGGCATTGGGTGACGTGGTGGCTCAGTGGTTCGCATTGCTGTCTCACAGCGCCAGGGACCTGGGTTCGATTCCAGCCTCAGGCAACTGTCTGTGTGCAGTTAGCACATTCTGTCTGTGTGGGTTTCTGCCAGGTGCTCCGGTTTTCTCCCAGAATCCAAAGATGTGTAGGTTAGGTGGCCTGGCCATGCTAAATCGCCCTGTAGCGTTGAGGGTTGTGCAAGCTAGGTGGCTTAGCCATGGTAAGATACAGGGATAGGGCAGAGGATGGAATGCAATTAGGAGGCCATTGAGCCCACACTGACCCTCCAAAGAGCATCCCACCCAGAACCACCACCCCTTATCCTTTGTAACCCTGCATTCCTCTTGGCTAAACCACCTACTACAAATTCCTGGATACTATGAGCAATTTCCCATGGCCAAACCACCCTAACCTGCACATGTTTGGACTGTGGGAGGAAACTGGAGCACCCGGAGGAAACCCACACAGACACAGGGAGAATGTGCAAACTCCACACAGACAGTCGCCTGAGGGTGGAATCGAATACGGGTCCCTGGTGCTGTGAGGCAGCAAGGCTAACCACTGTGCCACCCAGAACTCCTACCTCTGAGGTAGGGACTCTACTACTGCACCACAACAGCACCCCCCTTCCTTCCTCTGGAGGCATTAGTAAACCAGGTGGGGTTTTAATTGCAAAGTGTTTCAATTGCAGGTTTTAACTAATCAAATTTGAATTTCAGCAGTGGGATTTGAATCCATGGCCCAGACCATGAGGCAGGCCTTGTGGGCTACCCACTAAGTAACACAATCACGGGGCTTGAGTTATTAACATTGTTAACCTGGTATAGCCACCATTTGTGATATGAAGGTACTGTGGCCACTGTGAATTCTCAGAATTGTCAACCCTGGCTGATGCAATCTCAGAAATTCCACCACCTGTCCTCTTAACCAACAT